TGGTATGCTGGTGGGGTTCTCGAAGGGGATGGGGATGGAGATGGGGATCGGTTAAACGATGCCGACGAAAGGCCCCCCTTCATCGCCAGGCCTCCTGAGCCCAACGAGGCAGATGGTCCGCCCAGCCGATGGGCAGCACATCCCCCTTCTCGCTGCGCTCCGCAAACTCCTCCCAATCGATCGTGCACAGCGTCTCGTCCGCCTCGCTGGCGGTTGGGGGGGGGGGGGGGGGGGGAGGGAGGGAGGGATGAAGAGGGGAGTGGAGAGAGGGAGCCAGTGAAAGAGAGGGAGACATATGAGCCTCGTCGCTGAAGTTCAGCGGATAAATTGGGTAGCCGCAGTCGTCCGCCTCGACGGGGTTCCCAGCAGCGTCGCAGCGGCAGGTCGGGCACCAGGGGGACTCGGGGTAATGGTGCCAGGCGCCGCACCCGCACTCCCACGCGAACTCTGGAGTGGCTGTCGAGACCTTGCGAGAGATCGTGGAAAGGAAGAGGGGGGCAACGAGGATTTAGAAGGAGAAGGGGAGGAAGGGGGGGAGTGCGGGAGAAGGAGGCGAAGGAGGATGACGACGACGAAATAGAGGGGGGGGAGCAGGAGGAAGCAGATTGGCACGAGTGAGCTCAACAGGGGAAGGACAAGGGAGACGAAGGGGCGCAACAGGTGCATAAGCAGGAGGAGGGGGAGAAGGAGGAGAAGGAGCGAGTAGGAGGAGGAGGAGCGAGGACCTCATTGTCAAGACCAGGCAGCAGGTCCTTGAAGAAGCCGTCGACGTCATCGGCCTCATCTGGCACGTCCTTGGTATGCTTGCTCTTGGCGTCCGCCCACGCCTGCAGGGCGCCTCTGGCCTTCTCCTGACTCAGGCGGTCCGCGTACTCTTTCTTGATGTCGGTGCCGTCCTTCTTCCGCATCAGATCTTTGAGCTCCTGAATATCGGCGTGGTGCGAATGAAGTGGCCGATGCCGATAGAGAGACCGAGCGTAGGGGCACAGCAGCTTCAGCTCCCCAGCTTCCTTCACTGCTCGCGACTTGAGCTCCCTGTAGGTTTTGCCCCTCATCAGCTTCTGCTCGAAGCGAATGTCGAGGAGGAGCATGGCGTCCGCGAGCATGTAGCCAGAGGGGATCCTGCAGGGATACTGCTGCAACACTGGTTTGATCCACAAGTGGTTGTCGCGCATTCGCCCGACGCGCGCAGCGCCCCGAGGAAGGTCGATGAGGGGCTCGCCGGACCAGCGCTCGGGATCCTGGATGAATTGATCGACTCCTGCTTCCACGAGACCATCGTGCCAGGCGTCAACTAGAGCATCGATCTGGTCTTTCGTCCATGCCGCATGGCGACCGCGCAAGGAGGATAACGCTTCTATGGGCGCGGATGTCAGGGCGACAGTCTGCAGAAGGCCGGGCATATCTGGACAACTTCTCCACTTGAGCCTTCAAATGGCTCAATGCAGCATGCAGCCTTCCAGTAGCTCGCTGCTTCTGAGCAGCGAGCTACTGAAAGGCTCCCTGGACCGCAGTCTCTGCTGGACCGTAGGCTTTGCTGGATCGTCTCGCTGGGCCGCGGGCTTTGCTGGGCCGTAGGTTTTGTCGGACCGTAGGCTTTGCTGGGCCGCGGGCTTCGCTGGGCCGTAGGCTTTTGAAAACGACCCGCCCTCAATCCGTGAAGCTCTTGAACATGTTTAAACCGAATGTGCGCGGCGCTAAGACAGAGCCACATTAAGAACACGACGCCCTGATTCTGAAGTTCGCGCAACATTTGAAAGCAAATTTGCGCGACGCTAATGCGAGAGCCACGTTTTCAAGTGACACGCTGGATTTGTTGATCCGTCGCTGTTTCCTATCCTCCGCTGTTCCTCTCGCTGTTCCTATCCTTCCTGTCCTGTTTTGTCCGAGCTCTCGCTGTTCCTATCCTCCGCCGTGCTGCCCCTCTCCCTCTTCGCCCTTCATCGGGGGGCTTGGAATCAGAGGAGGAGAGGGAAAGGAAGGAGGAGGAGGAGGAGGAGGCAGGTTTTCATATTTGCAGCTGGCAACATGTGAACAGGACCGCACGCGCGCGCGCGGCCTGGCCCCCGCTTCCCCGTGGTGTGTGTGTGTGTGTTGTGTGTGCGTGTGTGCGTTTGTGTTTTTGTGCGTGTGTTTGCGTGTGCGCGTGTGCGTTGTGTTTGTGTTTGTGTTTGCGTAGGTGTTCGTATGTGTTTGTGTGTGTGTGTGTGCGTTTGTGTTTGTGCTTGCGCTTGTGTTTGTGCTTGGGTTTGCGTTGTGCGTGCGTGTGATTGTCTTCAGGGGCCTCCGCGCTGCTTGAACCGCGGAGTGGAAGGAGGATGAGGAGGAGAAGGAGGCGGTGGGGGAGGAGAAGGAGGAGGAGGAGAAGCAGGAGGAGGAGGAGAAGGAGAAGGAGGGGGAAGAGGTGGAAGAGTAGTAGGAGTTGCAGGAGGAGGAGGAGGAGGCAGAAGAGGAAGTGGAGGGGAAGAGAGAGCGCGGGACAATGCATGAGGGAGGAACGCAGTTGAAGGAGAGAAGGAGGGAGAGGTGAAAGAGAGGAAATACATCAGAGAGCGAGGATGTTGGAGGATGGCGAGGGCGAGGAAAAGGAAGAGAGCAGCAGCAAGCCCACCCCCGCGCGCGCTCGGCCGCCTGCGCGACCGGGTCGACCGGGTCGCGCTCGGCGGCGGGGCGGCGGGCTTGAGCCTTCGGGCCTGCGTGACAAAGCCCTGGAAGGTAGGAGGGCGCCAACTATACACCTACACCGATCCTGGGCATGCCGATCGTCGTCGCCGTCGTTCGTCGTTGTCGTCGTCGTCTCGTCCTCGTCCGACGTCTCGTCCTCGTCCGACGTCGTGGGGTGGGCATCAATCCTCGGCCTATGGGCCTGTCCAAGATCAGTGTGGTGTATAGTTGGCGTTACCCGATGGCGCTATATATATGTATATATATATACTCCTCTGCCCGATAGGTGCTCTCGATGGCGAACGAGGACGACGACAGTCGACGACGTTCGGTGGCCGACGACCGACGGACGTCGGACGAGGACGATGACGGTGGACGACGGTTGATCATCGACAAACGTCGGACGACGACTTACACATCTGACAGCAATGACGATTGACGACGATCGACGAGGACCACGACGACGGCGAGCCTGAGGACGACAAACGACGACGACGACGTCGATGGATTCCCGAGGACCAGTTCTTAGAGCGCGCCCAACTGCTCGACGAGGCAAAGGCGATCGACGACGACAGAAGGCAACGTGGGCGACGTTGATGGACCCCCGAGGCTCGACGGCCGAAGGACGACGATCGTCGAAAATTGGCGACGATGCTGATGACGATGCTGACGGTGATCAACATTCGACGACAAACGGACGCCAGACGACGACGACGACGACGACGACAACGACAACGGTGAACGACGTCGTACGACCGACGACCGACGACCGACGGTAATCGGAGGACGACCGACGACGCTAACAACAACTACGACCGACGACGAAGACGACAAAACACATCAAACGTCCGACATCATTATCAATCGTGACATGTATGCATGCGTGATTGACGTTGATGTCGTAGTCCATGACGGTAAACGACATCAGCTACCATGAAGGTCAGATCAGTTTCGCGCGTGCACGTACGAGAAATGGTACTTTATGACCTAATATGGTACTTTTAGATATAAAGCGGTACTTTATGATGTAAGACGGTACTTTATGATATAAGACGGTACTTTATGATATAAGAAGGTACTTTAGTACGATTCCCGTTACTTTTACTAAAGTACCATTTCGTAGGAAGCGTACCGCCCCAGGGGCGGTACCAGATCCTCTCGGATAGATATATAGCCCTATACCCCCGTAGCCCTACAGCCCTATAGCCATATAGCCCTGTAGCCCTATAGCCCTACAGACCTATAGCCGTACAGCCCTATAGCCCCATAGCCTTCTAGCCGTATAACCCTGTAGCCCTATAGCCCTATAGCCCAATCGCCCTATAGCCCTGAAGCCCTATAGCATTATAGCCTGATAGCCCTATAGCCCTATAGCCTTTCGCTCTATACGCCTATAGATCTATAGCCCTATGGCCCCATAGCCCTATAGCCCTATAGTCCTATGGCCCTATAGTCCTACAGCTCCATAGCCCTGAAAATAATGTGATTGATTTGTTCTCCGGTGTCATCATCTCTTGGGGGCGCATCTTTAAATTTCGCCGCCTTCCGCCGAGCTTCCGCCGTCGGAGGCGGCCTCGCTTTACTTCCGCCAACCTTCCGCCGCCCTCGGCGGTGGAAGAGATGACAACACCTTCGGCCCTCGAATGCAAGGCCAACTTTGGAACGCCTCAACCCAGTCTATCCCCTCCCAGACGCCCCCACCTCTTACCTCATCGCACATTTCACGGAGTTGTGAAGAGGGAACTTCGAGGGAGGGTGGATTGCAACATCATTGATGCGTCCTTGGCTTGCACTGATCCTCCTCCTCTTCCTATTTGTCCTCCTCCTCCTCCCCTGCAAGAGGGCAAGACGGATGGATGGCGAGGGTTTGGGTTTACCCCAACCGTCAAAACAAAAACAGGGGCCAAAAACCCAGGAGCCGAGCCAAGCCCCAGGCGACCCGAAGAAGCGACGAAGGAAGGCAAGGGCCAAGATGGAGGCGGAGAAGGTGGAAGAAGAAGAATAATAAGGCGAAGATGTGTGTACACCCTGCGAAATGCTTTAGAAATCATGGGTTAAGAAATTCATAGTCTCAGAATTTGGAGAAAACGCCCAGAATGTCTATTTAAATCTTAGGATTTACATTGAAACATTAAGAATAATCGAGACTCTGGCCGAAAACTTTGGTTTTCTTAAGCATCGCCTAGAGTGTAGTGTGTAAAGGTGTGTTTAGAGGGGTCGCGCAGCTCCCGTCCAGGCTGGGAGCGAGGAGGTCTCACACACCAAGACCTCTGGCCCAAGACGGGCATGCGAGATCCAAAGCTCCCTCCACCCCCGCGCCCCCCCTGGGCCCGCTCCTCGTCCCGGGCGGTCTGCCGCAGATCGAAGTTCTTCAAGATGAAGTCGCAGCTCGAGTGCAGCTGCGCATTCATGTTCGACAGCTGCTCCAGCTCGAGAACGACCTTGTTCCTGCTGTCCTTTCGGAGGCGGCGACAGGGGCGAATAGCACACTGAGCGAGCAGTACAAGTATCGCAGCCGAGCGTGGTCCAATAGCTGCGAGGTTCGGGGTTCCACGACACCTGTAATGTCCACCCCCCCTGTGCTATCCGAAGGTTGCAACAGGCGGTCCTTGGCCTCAACCAAGTCTGCCTCGGCCTTCGCCTTCTCGGCGGTCTTGGATGTGATCTCCCGCTTCTTCGCCTCGATCGAGTCGTTGCTCGTCTTGACGAAGTCCTCGTATGCCTTCTGGGCGTCCTCCTCGTCGCGCGTGGTCTCGGCCTCCATCGCCTTGGCGTCCGTGATGATCGACTGTATCAGGTCCATAACGCCTGCGCTGGCGGCGCTCTTCTTGTACTCGCCGAAGCCCGGCGGCGGGGCGGGGCCCTGCTGCTGCCTTTGGAGCAGTGCCTCCTTGGGGCCGTAGAACTCCCCGAGGGCGGCCAGCGCCGCCTTCAGCACCTTCTGAGTCTCGCGCTGGTCGGCGAGGGTAGTCTGAAACTCCATGTTTTCCTTCTCGCGGTCCTCGCCAGCGTGCTTGATCTGCGTGGTCGTCTCTGCGATATCCGCCTTGAGCGCGTCGATGGCGTCGGAGAGATCCTTGATGGTGCTCTCGAGAGTTTCTATGAGCGCCACGAGCTCCTGCTTCTCGCGCACCTTCTTCTCCGTCTGCATCTGGTTCTCGTCCAACTCCTTCACGCAGAACGCCTTGTGCTTGATCTCGGCGGCCTTCCGAGGGGGAGTCCTCCTCCTCCTCCTCCTCCTCCTCCTCCTCCTCCTCCTCCTCCTCCTCTCCCCTCCTCCTCCTCCTCCTCCTCCTCCTCCTCCCCACATGCACACGCCCTGGCAAAGCTCAGCCTCGGCCCAGGCACGGTGGTTCCGGCAGAGCCAGACACGGGCATCTGCCGACCTGGGGCCCACGACCGACCCGGCGGGGGGCGGCATATGAGGAACGCCCGAACCCTCCCGGCCTCCTCTTCGAGAAGAGCGGGCAAGATCGATCCGGCGGGGGGCAGCAAATGCGAACAGACCGAACCCTCCTGGCCTTTTCTTCGAGAAGAGCGGACACCATGTCGTCGATTGCCTTCTTCACGCGCTCGAACGCGTCGAGCTTCACGCGGGTCGCCAGGGTGGACAGGCGAGGGCTGTGCAGCCTAATAGCGGAGCGACGACGACGGCGACGGCGACGGCGACGGCAACGGTGGCGGCTACGGCGACGGCGACTGCGTCGGCGATGTCGGTGACAACGGCGGCCAAGACGACCGCGACGGTTGCGGCGACGTCGCAGCCTGGCTGCAGCGCGGGACAGCACCAGCGAGGCCTGCTCGCGGCGGGAGGACCGCGTCCTGACGCGCGCCTGCGCCAGCGACGGGTTGAACGTCCTCGGGTACGACGACAACGTCGACGTCTTCGCTTCGCTTCTATTTCTATAAGGGGCGTGTCTGGAGGTTCTCGTCGACGAAGCTGGACGCAAGTCGAAATACAGGCCAGGGCGGGCCCACAGAGGTGTCCAAGAACGCCGTTTGAGCGGATTTCTGGCGGCCGGCAGCTGGGAGGGGACGTGCAGTCAGCCGACGCCCCCCCTCACCCAGCAAGCAATGAGAATGATTAGAGCGACTATTTGACTTCACGCGTCGCGCCGTGCGAAACCGCAGTTGTCTTCCCGCTCTCGCGCGGCTAACCTGGAGAAGAACGCATCCGCGGCCGAGACTGAAGTGCGAAATGCAACCATCTTCGTGCCCCTGCGGGTGAGCCAGGATCCCCCCTACCTCCCGGAGACAGTAAGAGCAAGGGGTCAAAGTATGGATACAGGACCCCTGGGCCGAGCAGGCAGGGATTGGACGACCAAGCAAGAATCCAAGGACACCCCTGATGAAGTACTCCGCTACTGTTGCTGGCCGACCGTCAAAATCCCCATCGCCAAACTCCGAGGCGCGCAACAACCTCCCAACGCCTCGAAGATGGGAACAATCTGAAACATCGTGGAGCGACCGCCTTCACCACCCGACAAGTCAGGGTTGTAAGAACCACTCGAAAGGACATACCACGAACACATGACATACACCGAGAGCATGTACTAATAGCAGACATCCTAAACACACATCGTACCGCAAGGCAACGTGAACGAGAAACACAAATAACATGAATACATGAATGGCGCGTAGCCGATGCTGGCACACAACACACGCACATAATACCAACAGTTGTATCTACTATAACCAACAATAGCATACAACAACGGCATGCACTAGGAACGCAACAATAACATCACGAGCACACGCACGCAGACACACACACACACACACACATGTGTGTTTTGGAGCCGCAGGCCACGCGCGCAACGGCGCGGCGTGGAAAGTCGGAGGGAGAGACGCGCGCGGCCGACCTGGGTCACGCAGCGTGGGGGCACTGGATCCGCCCGTTGGGAAGAACACACACACCACTTGCAAACACAAAAAACAACAACATCACAGGCTAGCCAAGAACACCTCGGTAACGTGTACGAACCACACCACACCAATAGCCAGCGCCAACCGTGTAGGCCAGACACGCACACCCGTACAAACCAACAACACCTTTCACTAACCATCACCAAAAACACACGCCAGCAACACACATCCACCATGCGCACAAACAGCATGCCCACATCCACGCATGATGAACACCGGCAACTCGCACTGATCAATAATCTACGCCACCACTCTACACCAACTTTAACATACCAGCAGCATGCGTGGGAACATGCTGGAGTCACGTGCCAAATAGCGGGCACCTAGCACGTGCATACATAACATCAAAAAGGACACGACGCACACAAGTACTTGGTAGCAAGACCACCAATGCTCGACGAAAACACCCCGTATGAACATCAACGTTCTAGCGCGCGTTTGTCTAATTATCTTGGTATGTCTGGCTCTGGTCGTGAAGGGGTCTGAGTACGAGCGGCTAGAAACGAGCGATCATGCATACGAGCGCATGTGCGAGAATGAACCAGTTTGAGATGAACGTGGGAACGCGCGGCCGAATACATGCATGTCTACGTATGGCTGGTCCTCAGTGTAAATGGGTCGGAATGTCAGACGTGGGGGGTCCTACATTGAGTGTATGTGAAGCCCCCGCGCTATTGGCTCGACCAGGCCAAAGTCACACCCCTTGGCGTCTGCCCACCAGGTGGTACACATTCAATCCCTGCTACATCGCGGTGCCCATGGGACCCAGGTGCAGCCGAAGCGCTGGCATAAGGAAACCTATCAACAGGAGCGAGGCCCTTTATTTCACAAGTTCAACTTGGATCTCTCACAGAGAGCCTGAGGAATATCTCAGGAGAAGGGTAAACCAATTAAGGAGCACTGAGCCCCTTCCCACTGAAAAAGGTTGCTTCTTCAGCGGCCCGACTGTAAGACGCGAAATCATTGTCCAAAACGGGCGTTTCGCCTGAGCCATGCCCGGAGACTGTGCACGAACGGGCCCGAGAAGCATCCCTAGCCGACACCCCTGTGGGGTGATCCAAATGTCTGCCGACCCTCATGGATCGACCTAACCAGTGTTTGTCGTGTTCGTTTTTTGTTTTTCCCAATATCCAACGGATGGGGTTCTTGATATTCTCTGACCGCGCCGCACCCCGCATTATCATCCCGTCCTTCCCTCTTTGGTTGTGTTGAGCGATGGTAAACGATTGATGAGTAAGATGATGACGAAGATGAAGACGATGATGATGATGATGATGATGGTGTTTTTCCCCCAGGGACCGACGGCAATGAGGGATGACAATCGACGCAGCGAGTCCAGTCCTGGCAACGGGCGCAAACGATGCCAAACCAACTCGGAGGTTGGGCGCCTAACAGGTGACACAACGTCAATTCGTCACAAGATGGGAAATACACAATAACTAAAAAAATCCTGCAACACAACTGCTAAAATCCCACCGAGTGCATACCCAGAGAGAGAGGAAGGGCCGATCAGAAGCTAAGCCCGTGGCCAGGCGACGATCGACGAAAACAGACCCTGCCCTCACAAAACCTCTCTCCAGAGAGCAAGCGGGGCCTTGCGGCACTTCACCGGTAACCTGGCGGCAGCAAATTAAAGAGGAATTATCGGCGGCCAATGCAGCTGAAGCAAGGCTTGCCACTTGCAACAGCCAATGGACGCCGCAAGAAGCACTGTTTGGGGAAGTACGGGCCGCGCAAAGGACCCCGAGAGGAGCAGGGAGAGCAGCTTTCGGGGAACCCCGACACGGGCATCAGCAGAGAGCGAGGCCAAGCCCGCTGCCCCCAGCGGGGCACGGTAAGAAAAGAGCAGCAATACGACAGAATGGTACATGTACAGCATACGACCCCGCGGGCCCCAAGAGGGACAGTGAGCCACTAGCCCCAGGGGGGCAGAAGTTATATGATACCGCTACGAGGAAGAGGCAGACCAGGCACGGGCAACCTTGGGGCGCCGCCGAGTGTGCAAGCGGACGCGGCCTTTGAGGAGATCCGTCTGCGACAGCCTGGACCCCTCGCGGAAGCTGGCTTGGACAAAGAGAAAATCCATCCAAGAGGCTCGCACAGATTATTCGCTGCTCAAAAAACGGGGGAGGAGCAATAAAAATTAAACATCGGAACCAGGACTCTTCGCTAAAAAAAAGGATGGAGGCATGGGGCGAGAGCTAAACTCAGTCGTCGAAATTCAGTACATACAGCATAGTGCTCCATAAGGAGTCGTTGGCCCCAGGGGCACCACAGTTCCAGCGGCATCCGACAGGCCCATGATGAAATCTAGCACTGGCACAGACACCCCTCGCCAGAACACGTAGGACCGCGAGCCCCAGGTAGAGAGAACTTGCCTTGCAGACCTTGCGGACAACCTGAACAGCGGCGGAGACCTGGGCGACTGAGACCCCAGGGGCCCATCGGATCACCCGGGCGCGAAGGCAACGGATAGGAGATCGGAGGAGCACGGACACGAAGGATTCGCGTGAGCTTCGTTTGAAACCCCGAGGCCTGAAGAAACCCTGCGCGCAGCTGGACGTGCCCATTCCACGCGTCAATAAGAGACCGACAGAACGTGTGCTGCCGCCAAGGGTGCCGCATCCGAGCAGGGTGAAATTCGCCCTCCTGGGAAAGACCGAGAATCTGACCACGGATTCGCGGGAATGCAGCACTGTTGTGGGCAAGACGAACTTGCGTAGCAATGCCAATCTGGGCCAGATCAGGGAACTCCAGCGATAAGCCGAGGTCACACATCCTGGTACACATCAGTCTGTTGAAGGCAAACCGAGGACCCGCCATGAGCTTCTGTAGCATGTTCCCTTCACACTTCAGGACAGCCGACGACGGAGGATAGAACTGCATCACAAACCGGAGAACCGAGACGGCGAATATCACGTACGTCCTAATGGTCATAGCGAGCCCAATCCGAAGTCTCCGAATCTCAATACAACGCTGATGAAACTACTGCAACGCAGTGCCCCAAGCGTGCTTCCAGCCTTCTGGGCCAATCTGAATCCCCAGATATCGAACATGCCGAACCAACCCTATAGCATCAGCCCCATTCCCAAGACTAGCGAGCAACCTGCGAATCAGCCGAGACGACCGCGGAGAGAGACTCAGACCACAGTGGATCAGGACACACTTCTTCATGTTCAGGGCAAGCCCAATCCCAGGATGCAGACGCTGAAGCAATGGGAGAAGGATCGGTAGATCAACGTTCACATCCCGACGCCCAAACCACACATCGTCAGCAGATGCCAAGATTTGCCGAGGGGGACGACAACAAAGCCAACGAATGCACGGGTCAAGAGCGAGAGCGAAGAGCAGCATACTGGACGGGTTCCCTTGGCGAACACCCCGTAGCAGGCGCATCGCTCTGTGACGCTTCCCTCCAAAGCAGACGGCCCCCAAGCTATCTGAGCACAGCGCCTCGAACAAAAAAACAACCACTCCGGGAGGAACTGCCATCAGGACCAGCGCCCGAAGAAGCCGGGAAATCGCAATGCTCGGAAACGCAGCAGCAAAGTCGGTCAAGAACATGCAAGCCAGGTCCCTCCCTGTCATGCACTGCTGAACCCCCCAACACTCCGCCTCGAGAATCTGGTCTGTCATAGACCCCCCTCGAATGCAGGCCTGATCCTTCCGCGCGCTCTCGCTCGCTTCTTTCTCCAGTTGGGGAGAGAACGCCACAGACATTATCTTACAGTCAGCGTTGGCCATGGCAAGAGGACGACATGCATCAGGAGACCGAGGGGGGGCAAGCAGTAAGATCCGTCGGATTCTTCCCCTTGGCTAAGAAAACAAGAATCATTTCCCGCATGGAAGGAGACATGTCGCAAGCACGATGGTCAAAAAGATGGCAGTAGAAATCGTGCAAGATCGCAGTCGGGATCGGGGACTTCCAGCAA